GTAAGACAAACTTATTAATCCTTGGGCCCCAGTGTTTTTAGAAGAGCACGAGTCCCATGAGGTTGGGTTTAAGGTTGGAGGGGGCATCTGCATATCTTACCCAGTCTTGGAGAACAAAGATGTTTGTTAATTAGCATATGAAATAAAGGTTCTGATAAAACCCTCATTAGGTGGTACTTAGCTTTTCTGAACAGTGTTTGCCAAGCATATTTATCCATGGGACCTCTTGTCTACCCCACGTACCAGCATCCAGGCACACATTGCCCCAACAATAAAGTCCAGAACCTGCCATGGGCACTAGGGGCCCAGCCTACAAGTCTCACTGGCCAAACTCTCCTCTCCTGCCACCAGGACTCCTCTCCATATCTTACATGTTTTCCTCCTCCAAGGCATAGTGCACAGCTGTCTCCACATGCTGGGGGGCCAGGATCTCTGAGCCACCTGTTCCCTCAAACATCCAAAGACTCTTCTCTCCACCTCATACCCACAGCTGGCCATTGCGTCCAACACCGAATATTCTTAAGTATCCCAGGATGCCTGTCTCCTTCCCATCCTCCCTTCCACGTCACTCCTTGCTGCCCTCTGAGTTGCCTTTGTGAGGCCATGGACATGGGACGCCACACTCGGCAGCAAGTCAAGGGGGCAGGACTGAACCCTGAAGGGTTCTCAGAATCCGAGCCACCTCTCTCCACGCCTCGACCCGAAGGACGCAGGCTCAGGCAGCAAAGAGCAGGGGGCAGGATCAGAGGGGGAGACGGGGGTGGGGCAGGAACCAGAGGCGGTGGCCGCGCCTGAGCCTGGCACTTGGTGAATGGATGATCAGTGACAGCGCTTAGAGAAAAGCCCCCACCCCCCAGACCCCCCTGTCCGGGACACATTCCGCAGGAGGGACTTGGCCGCTTCCCAAACTCAAGACACGTCCTGGCTGGAGCTGGCCATGGGCCGGGCAGCCCTGGGGCAGCCGGGCGGGGCGGGGTGTCCTAGAGAGCCGCGGATGGGCCTCACACCCAGGCTGGGCCAGGACACCCCGTCCTTGGCTGAGGCCCAGACCGGCTCTGTTTACAGAATCTGTCAGCCCCGTCCCCCCTCCCCCAGCCGCCACTTCCCCCAGAGCCCTGGAGGCTGGGAGAGGGACAGGCGGGCCGAGCCGAGGAGGCAGCCGGACCCCCGGCCCGCCCTCCGGCCCTCCTCCCCCTCGGCTCTCGGGCCATCCCTGCCCTCCCGTCTTCTGCTTCCCCGTCAAAGCACTGGGGGTGGGGGGTAGGGGGAGCGCATTTTAAAAGCGCAGTTGCAGGAGGCGTGCTTGCTCCCCAGGAAAGCTTGGTTAATGGTGGAAAGGCAGGCACTGTGCCGGCAGGCGCAGGGAGGTTTTTCTGGGTATCTCCAGTCAGCCTGGAAGAAGGCTCACTCTTTCCTCGGCACCCCAAACCCATGGGCGCCTAGGAGGGACTTGGCGCAAATGAGGTGTGGCCCGGCGGTCAGGCTGGGGCCTTCTGGGGGCTTCCGAGGGCAGCGACGTCTGCAGATAAGGCAAACGGCCGGCCGGGCCGCGGTGACTCAGCTGCGGCCACCTGCAGGCAAGCTCCGGGGGCCCAGGGGCCGGGCAGGGGGAGGTGCAGCGCGACGTGGGGCCGCCCCGCCCTGTCCCCACCCCGCCCCCATCCCCGCCGCCTGGCTCCGGGAAGGCCAGCCCACCACCCCCAACTTCCCAGAGGAGCCCGGATTTCCCACGGGTTTCCCCGTCTGCTGCAAATAGTAACAAAATGTGGCAGTTTCGGAGCGCTCGCTGTGTGCTAGGCACTTCGCAGGCATCGTGTCTTTAGTTACCTCCAAGACTGAAGCAGGCACCACTATCACCTCCATTCAAAGACAAAAAACACTGATGCTCAGAGAGGCCAAACTATTTGCTCAAGGTCACACAGCTACTGAGTAGCAGGAGGCCCAGTTTCCAAACCCCTAGACCCCTCCTGCCCCTTCCCAGCTCTCAAGTCCTCCCCTTCTGGGGGCTAGCAGTTGCCCTGGTGGTGGCTTTCTAGGCGAAACCAGGACCCCCGACATCCCCTGGCCTGGGGGCTAACTCAGTACAAATATTTACCATTGTGAGGCAAATCCATTGGTATTGAAAGAAGTGTCTGCTGAACTCCCAGCCTGGTTTCAGGTGCTGGCCAAGTTCCCCAGGCCTGAGTTTCCCCTTGACCTCCACTCTTAGAGGGAAACTCCTGGGCACAGGGCTGGGCCCCCAGGAAACACTGCCTCACCAGCGCCCAACCCTGCCCTCTGGAGAGGTGCAGCCTCCAGAAAGCCCCTGACTTGTTCACAGATTAGACCCTAAGACTTGCGGCGCCAAGAGGGAAGCAGCAGGCACACACCACACACCACCCCGCTGCTGCCGGCTGGCCCCTGCCCATGTGGGGTCAGGGCCAGGACAGTGCTGCAGAGAGCCAAGACTGAGCCCCAGAAGGCACTGAGGAGCAAAGAGCAATCTGCATCCTTGGGTTGCCCTGGGAGGCAATGAGCTCCCTGTTACCTGGGGTGAGGGAGCACCTGCAGAAGAAATGATTCAAAAAGAGGGTGAGATGAGATAACCTTTAAAACTTCACATTCCTGTGTTCTATGAGTCAGACAGTGTCCAAGTGAATAGCTTGTTCTAACAGCTGCTTAAATGGAAACTTTCCCAGACTCTCCCACTTCCTTCCCGTTTGACTTCTTTCTCCCGGGCCCAGTGATCTTGCTCCTGGAGACTCTGAGAATATTGGGAAGATCACCCCCCATGTGTCCGTGCCTCAGTTTGTCACTGTCTCAGTGGCTATTGTGGGGGGGTCTGGGGGTTCTGATTCATGGGATGGAAGGGAGGAAAGAAAGAAGGAAGGAAGGAAGGGTGGAAGAAATCTGGAGATGCCTTTGTGGTTGAGTTGGTTTGACCTGGGCTTCATGTCCAACCTGTTCTCCCACATATGTGACCTTGAGCAGTGTCACTTTACCTCCCAGGACCCTGCAAAATAAGAGAACTCTTAATCACCCTTCTGGTGAGGGTTGTTGGTAGCTACAGGTGACCGTTGGAAGGTCTTCCCAAACACAGTCGTGTGACGATGCCCAGTGGGCAGCCCAGCTCTATGGGCAGACGCCATTCTTTGTGGTTCTGTCTGAGGGGGTAAGTCCCCAAAGACAGGCAAGCTTGGGTGGGAGAGGAGGGGGAGAGAAAGGGGCCTGAGCAGGGCTGCAGGGGTTGGGTCTCCTATAGTAGGAAGGGCTATGGTTTGGGGTTAGGGGACCTGTGTCCCAAAGATACTATTAAGTACTGCCTCTGTGTGACAGGTGCTTCCCACACATTGTCACATTTAGTTCTACCTACAAGGCAAGTACTATTATTACCCCCACTTTACAGGTAGCAAAATCAAGGCTCAGAAGGTTGACTTGCCAGCATGGGAGCCAGGACTCATAGCCAGGCAGGCTGACTTTGGAATGTTGTCCTACCCAAGTCCTGACTCAGATCCCTTGCCCCTGCCCTGCAGCTGTCTTGGAATCTGGTCTCCAGCAGATTGTGCCCAGTCCTCCAAGACCCCCACCCTTCCTTGGCACACTCCTGCTGCCAGCTGCCATGTCCTGCCAGAGCAGCTTTGGCCCACCAGAAACAGTCTGGTGTCATTGCTGTGCTGGACTTTGTACAGAGAGACTAGGGCTGACAGGGGCTTGGACATAGCCCCCAATTACAGGAGATCGATAGGACGTGGGGGAATGGTCTTGACTGGTGCAGAATCTCCCACAGCAAAGGAACAAAGGAAGACTGAGAGGCAGGCGCTACCCCCACCCACCCTGCACCCCAGGCACCTTGTTGCCCGAGCCAGTTTGCCTCTGTGAGAGCTGGGAAGGCTTCAGACAGTTACTCAGGGAAGCTGTGAGGCTGAGGCTGTCTTAACATAAAGGGACACTGGAAGACCCCTGCTGCCCGCCCGCTGCCCGCCTCTTTCTCCTGTCAGTGTGGTCTGGTCTGGGGCATCCCCCAATCACAGCCCTGCATTGCAGCCTTCCTGGCCATTATGTAAAACCTCTGTCTGGTGGCACTGAGCCCCCAGAGAAGGGCTCCTCCTTGCCCTCTCACCTCCAGGCCCCATCTATACTCCGTCTTTCCTTGGAAACAAATGCTCCCAACTTTAAAGCATCATAATTCCCCCAAAAAAGCAATCTCAAGAATGTCAAGGGGAAATTACTGAATTATCCTGGTTGGCAGAAAAATCTAATTTATAGCAAAGCATTGCTCCTGAAATTTTAATAGATTTTTTTACTCCGATGGATTTTAATGCACGATTGTTTCTCAGGCTTGGAAATTTAGTTTGAAGCACTGACATTGCTTTTCAGCTCGTGATTTATTGCCAGCTCTCTGCTCTTGAGCCTGATAGCAAACCCCACATCCTATTTCCCCTTACACATGAGAGGGCTGCACTCTCAGATCAGCTTACTGGACCAGACATCTGATGGCACTGTCGTCTCCTTAAGAGGATGAGGGGGCCCTGAGACCTGACTGAACCTTCCCTGCCCTCCTTACCTGGGAGCCAGGGCAAGTCCCCTCCTTGAGGATTTTGCTAGGGTGAAACCTCAGTGCTACATCTCTAAAGATGCCACTGGTTGGTGGGGACCCATGGGGATAGTGGCATGGCTAATCTTCTCTGCCCACTTCCTCCCACCTAGCCTGTCAAGGTGCCTGGTACAAAATAAAGGCTCGGCCAACAGGTGTTGATTCAAACAGAGGGTGGTGTGGCTGAGTGTCAGAGTCCTGCTTGAGCCAATGACAGCTAGGCTCCATTAGCAAAGGAATGTTGTGTTGACATCTTTGTCCGGGCTTCAGTCCATCAGATTGGAATCCTCTGGGCACAGCACAGCAGGCAGAAGGCAAAGTTGCTGCCCAGAAGTCTCAGTTTGTGGGGGCATGGCCAGTCCTGGGGAAAGGGTCTGGAGGGCAAGATGGTATTAGAAAACTCCACTCTGCCCAGAAAGATGAGAAGCTCCCTGTGTCCCTCATCACTTTTAAAGAGTATCTGACTAGGGCAATGCTTAGCGAAAACTTGCTAAGGAGAGTGGGCATTTGGAATGAATGACAGGCAGAGAAGGGAGATATTTGGGAATAACACAGACTTCTTTTGAGCCTTTGGAATGATGATACCCATTTTACAGATGTCAAAACTGAGGGGGCAGAGAGGGGCAAAACTCATGAAGCCCAAGTGACACTGAGGTCCAGATATGCAGCTGCCTGAGGGCTCTCCTAACCGCAGTGTGGGAGGCTGCACCAGGCTCCTGCTAGCCTGACCTGCAGGGTCCAGCAAAGGTCATGCTCCTTTGGGTGGCTAGGGGTCGCTCAGGCCCCAAGGGAGGCTGCCCACCACCCAGTTGTAGAGCAGGCCGGCAGGCCTGCGAGGACGCCTCTTCCTTTGAGGTTGCTTGTAGCGATCTCCCCATGCCTGACCCCATCTGCCCAGTAACAAGAGCGCCTGGAGACTTGTAGCCTCTTTCTTCCCAGAGGTCCCTGCTGTGGTGCCAGGTGGGATGACCACCCGGCCAGAGAGGGGTGGTGAGCAAGGGGTACGGTGGGGTGAACAGGGGTCTGTGCTCTTTCTTTCTTTAAGTGTGCCCATCTCTCCCTGACTGCCTGACTTCCAGCCCCAGGGAATGCGGGTTAAGTTCCAGGAGTGTGACATGTCCCCTGGGAAGCCCTGAGGAGCTTTGGGGGGGGGTGGGTCTCACACTGTCCAGAGTCCTATCTGGACAAGGAAGTTGGGGAGCACTACACCCCCAGAGAGCCATAGGACACATCTCCGGGGCCCGAGGAGCCTGGCACGTGGCTGCCTTGTTTGCCACCAGAGTAGGGTGGCAAGATGGGGATGTCTGTCCCATGCCCAGAACATGGGGCAGAAGGATGGCAGGAGGGAGGGAACAATCCCAACTTTTCCAGTTCACCTGCTGGCTCACCCTGGAGTCTCTTGTTCCTGGTGATGGCTGATTTGGAGATGAAGGTAACTGTGGGGTTTGGGGAAGCCCTCAGAGCCATCTTGGGGATGTCCCTGTGGCTGGGACAGAGGCGGCAGCTGGGGAAGCACACTGGTTGACTGTCCCCCTGATGGCCCAACCAGGTAGCCGTCAGCCCCTCTCTGAGCACTCCTGCTGACCCCTGGCAGACCACATCCCTACTGCCTGCCTTGACCAGTCCAGCAGCTCCCATTTCTGCGCAAGGCCAGGGCTGACCTCTGCCTGGAGCAGACCCTGGACATGACTGGGGTCCTTTCACCCCACCCTGCCCTCTGGAGCAAATCCAGAAGCCCAGCCAAGATGGGTGATTCGGGGAAACTCACAGTGTTGTGGGGAGGGGGATTAGGAGCAGGAGTTTCTCTGTGACTTTAGGGGGGATCCAGGCCCAGGGCTGAGGATCCCGGAGACCCTGCTCCAATTAGGAAGGCACCTTGCCACTCAAGCTGCGAAAGCACAGTTCTTCTTGTTTCTGCTTAGGAGAGAGGAGACGCTACCTCCCTCGTGAATCCACCCTGGCCCTTCAGACTTAATGACTCTCAAAATGCCAGCCCTGCTGGGACAACTCCCTGGCTCTGTCCTAGCCAGCTGGAACTCCTTTCATCTCTTTACCCTCCTGCAGGCCTGTGACTGCACCAGACAAGGATGTAGGCTGAGTGGCAGGCAGGGGCACAGGAGAAGGAAACTTGAGCAGGCTGGGCATTAGATCCTGGCTCCTGGGGGTGAGGAGCTCATGAGAGGCCTAGACTGGGACACTTTCCTGAGGGTGTCATGGAGCAGGCTTCCAGAATGAGGGCCACTACAGCATCTGACTGACACATTCCAGAAAGGCATGATGGAGATTAGGGATGAGGAAGCCACTGATGGGACACCAAACACAGGACAAGTCAACCTTGAGGGTCTTGGGGCTTTGAAGGTCTCAACTGGTCAGGTAGAGGGGCAGGTCCAAGGGGCACTGAGCTCATGGTTCCCCTGTCCCCACGTGCAGTTTGGTAACAAGGTGTGGGGGCAGCCCAGCCCTAGAAGGAGCTGTGTCTGGGCAGCACCATGGCAGCCCCCCAGTGCACAGCCCCTGCTGAGCAGCCATGCTAATCAGACTGTGGGGCAGGGCCCCTGGCCTGGGTTTCCCAAGCTTTGCTCTTTGGTGAGTAATTTCTTGCAGTTTGTGTCTGGCATTGAGATCAGAGGTTTTGCTCTCTACCTCCAACCTCTGAAGAATCATGAAGAGCCCTTCTTGAGGGCCCTGGGGGATCCTTGTGAGCTGAGAGAGGGCTCCAGTGGCAGATGAGGAGCATGTGTGGACCTGAAGCACTTGAGGCAGGAGGCTCCTCCACCAGGTCCTCCAGCCCACGCACCCTGGCACTGGCTCACTGGGTCTGAGTCTGATGGGCACCAGAGATTGGCATGCTTGATAGTGGTCATGCAAGAGGCATGCCTGCTACCCAAGCCCTTGGCCCCCAGCCCATGCCTCAGCTGCACTGCCTCTCAGCATCAAGCAAACTCAACCAGGGCTTGTGGAATGGCTTGAGCTCAAGTTATAGCTGGAAGGTCAGGATTAGTTAGACGCAAGGATCTCACTGAATATAAGAGCTATCTTGTATAACTGGCAAAGGTGAGAGAAACTGAATTGCTCATTCAACACTCAGCGACCAGGTGCTAAACTTGACCCTTCAGCCTGTTCTTCCACCTGTCAGATCTTCAAAAATGGAGTTTACCACCCACCTATCCCCTGAATCCCCCTGGGCAGTGAGTCCCTTAGCCCATGGCCAGTCCAGCCTCAGACCTTAGTATCTCTTCCTCCAAAACATCTGCAGAATCTGCCCATAGCCCTCTCCGTCCACTACCACCGCCCAGGCCAAGCCACAACCACCTCTCACTGTCTGCCTGCTCCTACCCCCACTGCCCATCCTCCACCCAACAGCCAGAGCAAGCTTCTCAAACCTTAAATCAAATGGGTCTCTCTCCTGCAGAAATCTTTCCAGAGAGCTGTGACCCTCTTGGATAAAAGTCCTGCCCCATCTCCTGCTACCTTGACCACAGCCCTTTGAGAATCCCTGCTGACCCTGAATCCATCTTTCCAACATCTATTACTTATTGTCATATTTCTTTATCCTTAAGTTTACCTACTTAGAATGAAGCTCACAATCAAGGCAACACGCATTGAAAAGACAGGTAACACTACCACAAGCCATCGTCGTCATCATCACTGCTGAATTTTACTGAGCACATTTTATGTACTTGGCACTATTATAAGAATTTTACATGGATTAAATCATTTAATCTCCATGAAAATCCTATGAGATCAGACTTTTCTTAAATTCCAGGATGCCCCGAAGGGGGTCAGCGGGGCTTGAAGTGAACAAGGCGGAGTTGTGGAGGAAGTAGGAGAGGGGCTGGGGCTCGGGGAATGAGGAGTGACTGGTGGGTGGGCCCAGGGGAAGCCTTCCAGGCCAGTATGAAGAATAATCATAACAGTAATAATATATTGAGCGTTTCACTGGGCTTGAGAGCTGTATATTTTTTATCTTCTTGGAAGCCCAGAACCTTGAGAGGTGGATACCAAGAGCCTTGCTCTTGGATACCAAGATGACAAGGACCCTGGGCCCCTATTGCAGGCCTCCCCAGCCCAGGGGGTCGGGGAGCGGGCCCAGCCCCATAGAGGCTGCAGTCCTCTGAGGAAAGTGCCCAGGGCAAGGAGAGCAGGAAGGAGGGGACACTCAGTGCTGCCCTGGGGAGGAGCAGTGAGGCCTGGAGGCCCTACCGGAGGAAGTGGGAAAAGACCAGAGGTGGGCTTTGAAGGATGAGCAGGAGTAAGAAAGGTAGAACTAAGGGGAGGCTGGTGGTGAGGACGGGACTGCACAGCCTCCTTTTTCTGCACCTCAGCCCCCCACGATCTCCCAGGGCCTTGAGTGAGCCCCCAGAGGAGGAAATATAAGAGATTTAAGGGCCTTACCCCCATGCAACTTTTTCTTTTTTATTGTGGTAAAATATATGTATGAATATATATACCATACTATTCTTAATGTACAATTTAAGTGGCATTCAGTACACGCGCACTGTGGTTCCGCCGTCACCACCATCCATCTCCAGAACTTTTTCATCATTTCAAATGTGAACTCTGTACCATTAAGCAATCAACTTCCCATCCCTCCCTCCCCCTAGCCCACAACCACCCTCCTACTTCCCGTCTCTATGAATTTGACTATTCTAGGCACCTCATACAAGTGGAATCAGACAGCATTTGCTCTTTTGCGTATCTGGCTTATTTCAACTAGCATAATGTCTTCTCAGTTGACCCATGTTGTAGCATATGTAGAATTTCCTTCCTTTTTAAGGCTAAATAATATTCTATTGTAGATATACCTCATTTTGCTTATTCATTCATCCATTGATGGACACTCAATGTGTTACCACTTTCTGGCTATTGTGAATAACGCTGCTATGAACATGATTATACAAACATTGTTCAAGTACCCAGTTCCGAGTCTTTGAGGTGTATACCCAGAAGTGGAACGCTGGATCATATAGCAATTCTATGTTTACTTTTTTTTTTTGCTTGAATATGAGATTAGACATAAGCAAACACAAAGAATTCATTGGGTGCCAGCTACTGCACGAAGTGTTTTGCCCATGTTTACTTTTTATTTGATTTGATTTTTTTATTAAGGTTTTACATGAAAAACATTGTGGTTACTACATTCACCCATATCATCAAGTATCCCCACAACCCACTGCAGTCACTGTCCATCAGCATAGTAAGATGCCACAGAGTCACTACTTGTCTTCTCTGTGCTACACTGTCTTCCCCGTGCCTCCTCCACCACATCATGTATGCCAATCACAATACCCCTCTATCTCCTTCTCCCTCACTCCCGACCCACCTTCCCTTTGGTAACTGCTAGTCCCTTCTTGGAGTTTGCGAGTCTGCTGCTGTTTTGTTCCTTCAGTTTTGCTTTGTTGTTATACTACACAAATGAGGGAAATCATTTGGTTCTTGTCTTTCTTCACCTGGCTTATTTCACTGAGCATAATATCCTCCAGCTCCATCCATGTTTTTGCAAATGATAGGATTTGTTTTCTTCTTATGGCTGAATAATATCCCATTGTGTATATGCACCACCTCTGCTTTATCCATTCATCTACTGAGGGACACTTAGGTTGCTTCCATATCTTGGCTATTGTAAATAGTGCTGTGATAAACATAGGGGTGCATATGTCTTTTTTGAATCTGAGATCTTGTTTCTTGGGGTAAATTCCTAGGAGTGGAATTCCTGGGTCACATGGTATTTCTATTTTGAGCATTTTGAGGAACCTCCATATTGCTTTCCACAATGGTTGAGCTAATTTACGTTCCCACCAGCAGTGTAGGAGGGTTCCCCTTTCTCCACAACCTTGCCAGCATTTCTTTTTTCTTGTCTATTGGATGTTGGCCATCCTAATTGATATGAGGTGATATCTTATTGTGGTTATAATTTGCATTTCCCTGATAATTAGTGATGTGGAGCATCTTTTCATGTGCCTGTTGGCCATCTGAATTTCTTCTTTGGAGAAGTGTCTGTTCATATCCTTTGCCCATATTTTAATTGGGTTATTTGTTTTTTGGGTGTTAAAGCATGTGAGTTCTTCATATATTTTGGATGTTAACCCCTTGTCAGATATGTCTTTATGGATATATTCTCCCATACTGTAGGATCCTTTTTGTTCTACTGATGGTTTCCTTTGTTTTACAGAGCTTTTTAGTTTGATACAGTCTCATTTGTTCACTTTTGCTTTTGTTTCTCTTGCCCAAGAAGATGTGTTTATGAAAAAAGTTGCTCATGTTTATATTCAAGAGATTTTTGCCTATGTTTTCTTCTAAGAGTTTTATGGTTTCATGACTTACATTCAGGTCTTTGATCCATTTTGAGTTTACTTTTGTGTATGGGGTTAGACAGTGATCCAGTTTCATTCTCTTGCATGTAGCTACCCAGTTCTGCCAACACCAGCTGTTAAAGAGACTGTCATTTCCCCATTGTATGTCCATGGCTCCTTTATCATATATTAATTGACCATATATGCTTGAGTTAATATCTGGACTCTCTAGTCTGTTCCACTGGTCTATGGGTCTGTTCTTGTGCCAGTACCAAATTGCCTTGATTACTGTGGCTTAGTAGTAGAGCTTGAAGCTGGGAAGCATAATCCCCCCTCTTCAACAACATGGGGAGACCCATTCCAGGGGAGGTTTTTGGGGGGACACGGCAGGGTTTCGGTTCCCAGAACTGTTCAGGGTGACGGAGAGGGCAATGGCTCTTGGTGTTTTCCAAAGAGTGCCACTGCCCTTTGCAGGGTCCTTGTGGAGAAAACAGTATGCAGAATATCAGAATTGTGTGAAGAACATATAGGGTGTGTCCAACCTTGTTGAAGCCCCTTCAGGCCCCCCGTGACTGGTGAGAGCCTCTGGCTTGGGTTAAGACTAGAGACCAAAGATTGAGAGCTGAGTAGAGAAGTCTGACTGCCAAACAGAGAAATTATTCCAGCACAGAGTCTAGGCTCTCAAGGTTGGGGAAGGGGGAAAAGTGAGGTTGGTCATGAACTATTTCTGTTCTTTTTCAAAAAGCAAAGTTTCTGAGCATTGCTGACTGTCTGGGGATATCTGGCTTATAGGTCAGGTGAGCAGCGGGCTAGCTGCAAATGGTCATCTAGGTACCTGGGCATCTGCTTCAGGATGACAGTGTTTAGCAGACTCTGTGTGTAAGTGACATGCTCGAATCAAGATTTGGGTGCTCAGTCATGTCTGCACTGTTGTCAGCAGGCTAAGGGCCTGACTGGGACTCATCACTTGTTGCTGGACTTGATTTCTTACCCTCAGTTCCCTTTACCTTAATCCAGTTAACAACCATTTGCTAAATGCAACTGTCCATCTGAAACCTATATCCTCCACACCTCAGCCAGGGTCTCTTTCCTGCTCCTCGCCTCCCCATGCTATGTTGAATTCTACTTCTTCTCATATTTCACTGTGTCTGCCGTAGTGCAGGCCACCATCATTGCTCGCCCAAAGGCATTTGCTTTCTCCAAACTTATGCCCATCAGCTCATGTGGCAGCCAGAGTCACCTGCCTAAATTGTCATTCCTCTTCTTAAAATCCTTCCTTGACTCCCCTTGGCCATCAGGACAAAATCCTGGGGTTTGCACACCCAGGCAGCTGACCTCTCCAACAACACTGCCGTAAATCTCCCTCATATACGAGGCTCAGCTGCAGAGAATTTTCAGTTTCTCCAAAGTCATGTTCCTTATCGCTGTCATGCCTTGTCCACAGTGCCTGCTCCGCAAGGAATGCTGTTCTCACCTTCATCTGACCATCTCCTCTGTATTTTTCAAGGGTCAGTGTAGATGCCAATAATTGGGAGCCTTTCGCCGTATCTCCAAGCTGGAGTTAGGTATTCCCAACTTAGTGAAACCCAGTCCTGTCTCCTTATTTAAATATTTATTTGAATTGGAGTGTGGGGGAGAGATGTGGTCCCTTGGGTCATTTGGAGAGCACATCTACCCACTACCATAGGCTGGAGTTGTTGGAGAAGGAAATGCCAGCAGCGCACTGCTTCCTCTCCCAGTCCCTATTCTAGGGAGTGCGAGTCCGTTTAGTCCCTAGGGTGGGCTCTTCTGTTGAGCCATGCTGTAAAGAAAATCACTGCGTGCACGCAGTGGGCCAGAGCTCCAGGCTAATATTAGGCTACCAGGGCTCACAAGGGCCCAGTCAGAGAAGGAAAGACCAGGGTTCGCCTCTGTCCATCTGACTGAGTGACCAGCACGCCTTAAGGCTTCCAGGCTTCCTGTTCAGCTCAGCTTGTGTTGGGGGTTGTGCTAGGCCACCAGGATTCTCTAGAGGGCTGGTTGCCTTTTGAACTTGAGTATCTGGCTCTGGGGTGAATAGAATGAATATTCCCATATGAACTGGAAATGCCTGCCTGGGTCTCTGCTCTTTGAAAGAAACAAGCGGTCCCACAGACTGACTTGAGGATTTTCTGTCAACATCAACCCAAGACATCACTCTCTGAAACCTCCCACCAGCTCTGTTTGCCCACAGCCCCACCAGTTGCCAGCATGTCAGGTGGTCCCAGAAGTTCCCCATACCCAGCAGGAAAGGGCAAAATGGGTGCCCAGGTGCATGCCTGACTAGTCATTGGGGTGAGTTCTAGGGAGAGGAGAGGTGGGCTGACACATACTCATTTTACTGTGGATGCTTCTGTATGTGGGAATGTTTTAAAAGCATGTATCCCTCCTGTAACTAAAGCTCCATCCCTTAGGCCTTGTTCAGATGGCAGAGGGTGACAAGGGACACTTGATAGGGAAGACAGCACGGGAACCAGACCTGGTCAGGAAGGTGGCAGTGACAAGAGGACATCTGGACCAGCAAAAGGTAAGGTCCAGGGCCCAAAGACGGGAGAGATTTATGGGCAGAGGATGAAAAAGATGGGCACACACCTAACTGGAAGATTATATGGAAGACTGGTGAGAGGTGAGTTAGTACCATAGTGGGCAGAGCCTTGAATGCCAGACTGAGGAGTCGGTAAGTAAGGATTTCTGAGCCAGAGGGATGGGACCAGACCTAGGCCGTGGGGTCGGAGCTGGCGAGGATGAGGCAGGCCAGACTGCCAGGAGGCCGTTTGCACATTCCAGGGAGAAGAGCAACAGTGAGGGGAAAGGGGCTCCTGGAGGAATAAGCTGGGGGGTGGCCAGGACATGGGCACTGAGGGCAGGGCCCAGGGACCCCCTTCCACCTGCCTCACAAATCTCCCCACAGCCTTGCTGGGCACAGGCAGCTCTGTGCCTAGGGATCTTGGTCTGCCTGCAGCTGGAGACAGGGTGACATCCCAGCATGACTGGTTCTATCCCATTTGCCACCTTGCTCCAGAGAGGAAGTGCCCCCCCTCCCCCGGACCTCTTGGGGCCTCCAGCTCATTCCGCTTCCATAGAACAACTCCAGAGCGGCTGCTGGGTTTGGCTCACCTGGTGATTCATTTGCATATCACATTTTCCTGGGTCTTGGAGGAAAAGCAACCTTGCACACCACAAAAAGTGACTCAGATGTGCCAGAAGGAGCCAGATGACACTTCTCACACCTGCAAGAAGCAAGATGGGTGCTTTGGCAATGCTAAGGGTCCCAAGGGTTCCAGAGAGAGACCCGACAACTTAGGGGATTGGGTTTGACAGCAGGGAGGGGAGGTTAGAGTGCCCTACCCCCTGCAGCTCCCAGCTCTGCCTCCAGCCCCATCAGAGGCTGCTGGGGACAGTCATGCCTACGGTGTCATTCGAGGACCTACGTGGAGAAGGACTAGACCTCAGGCATGTTTTCCTAAATCAGAAAACCACTCTCCCCTCCCTAACAGTGGTACCTCCACTATCATGACCAGGTACCAAGGACTCAGAGAGGAAAGAAAACCCAATGAACCCTGCAGAAAGAGAGCATCTTCTCTCCCGACTCCTCTGAATTCTTGGTGGAAGGAGCTAAAGGCCACACTGCACCCTGATAGGGCCCAGTAACTTCAGAGTATAGTAAACACACCAGGCAAGGGAGTTCTCCTCTGGCACCCCAGGCAGTGTCGTGGCCCAGAGCTCCAGGCCTCCTGTTCCCTCTCACCTGGCCCCCCTCTTGGCTGAGGAACCGCTGTTCTTTCTTGCGGGTGTCACCTTTTCTGGGGAGCTTTCCTTTTCCACTCACACTACCAGCACCCCCGCTTCTCCGTTATTTCTGTTTCTGGTACTTAACCCGTCACTGCACGTGCGCCCTCTGCTGTTCTGCTTCTTTATGTGTCCAGGGTGACGTCATATGAGCCTTCCTCTGCTCTGCGTCCCTGGGGGTACCTAATGTCTGTCCCATTGAGCAGATGCTCACGCAGCATTGCTGCAACAGAGCCGCAAAGCACAACGCCAGGTTTCGAGTCAATTCCACGCCATTTCAGGATACTTTACCCCTCCTCGCCATTCCTTACCAGCCCACGCTTAGCCTTCAGGGACCTCCTCTTTGCACAAGGTTGGGGCCCGATGTCAACCACACTTGAAAGTGTGTCTCTTGAAAGGGTAGAGGTCCTCTAAGTTCTTGGTGCATTTGGGACTTAGGCCAAAGCAGAGCCGAAAGGCTGGGAGCTTGGGTGAGCTCCTCACTGCTCTGGAAATGGATCCATGTGCAGCAGCAACGTGGTGATGATTGACAACCACATGCAATAAGGAGCATGGGTTGTGGCCCCAGCAAATGAGCATGCTGCCTGCCCAGGGTGTCCGGACCAACCCCGTCTGGAGGTGGCCGGGGGCCACTCCAGCTGGGACCGTGGGCAAGGCATGTGACAGGCCCCTAGCTCCCTTCCATGAAGTAAGTACCTCTGAGTCTTCAGTCCACCTCTTCCACCATCAAGATAAGGATCCACTGTCCCGGCAGGCTGTGGCATGGGGAGAAAGTCAGGCCCTGCCACAGGGCTTTGGCAGTACCAACTGCTCCCTTGGGTGCCCCAGGCTCGGACTCCTTACAGCACACTTTGCATTCCTCTGGAATTACTGGCCATTTGGCCACGTCAGAGCCTTGCCCTCCTTCTGCCAGAGCAGCTTTTCTGTGGACTTCTAAAGCTGTGGGATTATCTGGCTGGCTGATGGCTCAGCTTCTGCTCAGCAAGACTCTGATGCTGACACCACCCTCCCTACTTTCTTGCCCCCAGCTGGAGTCCACACCCAGCTGGCTGCTCAAGCCCTGGCTCTGGTAAGAGGTCTCTGGGCAAATCTGCAGCTCAGCTCTAAACATTTGTGCATCTGGTCTCTTCGGTTCATTGATCAGGAATCATATGATCTTTTAAAAACACAGCTGGTAAGTTGCCCATCTGTGCTTCTGCATTTGGATCAGTAAATCAGGCTGCCAAAATTTATTTAAACCCACAGGTCTGGGCTTAGAATTAGGCTGCCCTCACAGTGCCTCCTGTGATGATCTTCTCATTTTCTGGACCATCTTAATTCTTGGGACTACCTGTGCTTGCGCTTCTAGGAGTAGATCTGTTTTTATTGCTCATTTGTCTCCTGAGCTTTCCGAAGGACTATCTTCTCTTTACACTGAGGTTCACTAATTACAGGGTAAAGCATTAATCTGTACTCCTCCCCTCATCCTTGCAGTGCGCGCACACACACACACACACACACACACACACACACAGTTATTTCCCAGACAAGACGGGTCCTAAGTCCTTAGCCAGGTCAGTAACCCCAGTAAGTGATGTTTTCTATGCTTCCCTTCCCCACCCCAATCCTTTGAAATATACACAGGAATGTTGCTGATGTGGCAGAGATTGTCAACTGCCTACCAATATCTGGTCTAGCTGAGCACATGGCCATCAAAAATAAGTACTAAACTTCCCAGCCTCCTTTTCAGCTAAGTGACTAAGTTCCGATCAATGAGCTATATAAATAGGTTGGTGTATCCAACTTCCAGAAAGTATTCTTAAAGAGGCAAAGCATGACCATTCTCCTTTCTTCCTTCTTCTTGCTAGCTAGCACCTTCTGTGATAGCTGGGTCAGAGTAGTCATTATGGAGCATGAGGATGACATCACATTTTGGGTACAGCAGATGGGGTAGCCCAGCTTCCAAGGTAGCCTCCAGTGATTCTCAACTTCTAGGATTTGTGTTCTTGTTTAGTTCCTCCCACACTAAACAGGGCTGACCTATGAATCTGAACCGACAGTGTGACTTCTGGGACTATATCATAAAAGACATTGCAGCTTCTGCCTTCCTCTCTTTTGGATGACTTACTCTAGGCTAGTGCAAGCCAACTGCCATGTTGTAAGCACACCCAAGTAGCCCTGTGGAGCATCACAGGTGGTAAGGGACTGGGGCTTCCTGCTAATAGCCAGAACCAACTTGCTGGCCGTGTTGCAGCCCCTGGCAGCCCTTCGAGTGACCACAGCTCTGTCTGACATCCTGACTGCAGCCTCAGGAGAGAGCTCAAGCCAGAACCACCCAGCTGAGTCACTCCCGCATTCCTGACATACAGAAAATGAGAGATAATAAATGTTTATTTTTGTCTTAAGCCACTGAGTTTTGAGGCAATCTGTTACACAGTTGAAGACAGCACAGAAGAGGAGGCTTGATGCTCTGGAATTGTGGTGGGCCATAGTGACTGTTGACATCTATCTCAGACTTTTCTTTTTTAAAGATATATTCTCTTATTTTCACAATTATTATTATGAGTTTTCTGTCACTCCAATTCTTATTCCTGTTTGGCACCATTCATTCAGAAACTCTTCTCAGAATCGGTAGCTGGAAGTGCCATCATTCCTGCTGCCAATGGCAGGTTGAAGCCTAAATCTTCCCAAGGTGATGGGCAGTTAATGTCTAAAAATGTCTGTAAAAATCATTTTATAATAAGAACTGCAAGACAAGGGTCAGTAGACCCTGGCTTCTCTCCCTCCTGAGGGACCTCAATCTTACTTAACACTTTGGTGACCTCATTTGGCACAGAGAGACACACCCTCTTCATATGTGTCTCCCTACAATGTCCATGAGGTTCAAACAGATTTGTAAATAAGCATTTTGGAGAGTGTCAAGCTGCTCTACCAGCTTAAGATGGCACTCTTGCTGTTTCTGGGTGGAGTTAGCCTCAGCATGTACAGTTGTTCCTTTCACAGACCAGCTCTCGAGTGTGCATCTCATGTGGCCTACCGAGTAATCCTTAGCAGTGAGGGGATGCCCTGCTCAGATCCATTCAGCCATGGCAGCTAACAGGACTGACATCAGTCAGTCCTGTTAGTCTATTCTTTTCACTGAAGCACTCCTCCTTGGTGTCCCACTTGCTAGACAACGACAGCCAACCCTCTGAGGCCACCTCTCCATCCCCCATCCTGCTTTATCTTAGACTACAGAATCCCAGTGAACTAATCAGACAACACAATTCCTGACCTCCGGCATCACAATCCCTTAATGTTCCTCATCTGACACACCAAGTGAGAGAGCTTCTCTCTGAAATCTTAGCCTCCTGAATTCTACCAGGGACCTTGACTCCTGCTTTCTAGATATTTCCAGTCCTCTTTCCACTCCTACTCTTGCACTTCAACAAAGACCTTCTGTCCCTAGAGGCCTCAACTGTTTCCTCAGCCTGGTCCCATGAGAATCATCTGAATAACCAACAATTTTCATAAATCCCGTATTTGTTAGGGTAATCCTAGATGCTATGATGAACAAATCCCAAAAATGTATATTGCCTAAGACAATACAGTTAATTTCTTGCTCACAAAAAACCCAAATTGGTGTTTCTGATCAGTGGTGTCTCTCCACCCAGTGATGGATGACTCAGGGACTAGGATCCTTCTACCTTTTGGTCCTGCCATTCTCCAACATGTGGTTTCCAAGGGGGCTTCAAGCCAGACGAAGGAGAAAGGGTGAAGGCACATGTGCTTCTTAACCATGTTGGGCTGGAAATGACGCATGTCATCCCTGATCAATATTCCATTGGCAAGAACGCGTCACTTGACTCCTCTCAGATGTAACATGTGAAGGGAGGGTAATGCTGGGAAATGTAGTCTCTGATAGGAAGCCCATCCTAGCCTCGATTTTATTCTATGGAAGAGCAGGGAATGACAATTTCTTTCTGGTGAATAGTTATCTCTCTCTGTTATACAACCTTCATTTCCTTCTGCCACAACCTCTTAGCAAGACCGGCCCAGACACTACAGGCCGACAAGCCTTCCTGGCTTCTAAATTCTGAAGAAAACCCCGAGGGAGCAGATTAGTGCCAATGCAGATTTATGACCACCAAAGCCAGCAGGGCCGCTGTACTGCTAGGACCGGCTCATATTCTCTCCCGTTTGCCATAACAAGGGTTCCAATACTAAGGGTTTCCCATATCAAGGGCTCCCTGCACTTAGTGCCCACACCAACCCCCATTCTCAATGAGTGAGGATTTTAGGGTCAAAGGACATGATGCCCCTCCACTTCTTATCCTGCTTTCTCCTCCCACCCCACCCCACTCACTAATATAAACTTGTTTGTGTCCCAATTCACTCCAGCTTCACAGCCCAAACTGCTCCCTAGGTTTCAGACCTGTGCATCCACCTGTCCCCTGGATGCTTCCACCTGGACGTGCATAGCTCTCTCCAACTCACCAGTCTCCAACTGAGCTCATCACCCAGCCCCGCCCCCTCACCAAACTTGCTCCTCCTCCTGTGGTTTTTCCCCTCCTATGATGGCAATACCTTAACCCCATGGTCATCCTCACTGAAAACCCGAGGAGCTCTTTTTCTCGTTTCTCAGGTTAAATCCTGGCCAAAACATTTCTTGAATCAGTTCCCTCTACTCCTTTCTTTAGTTCAGGTCACCGTTTCTTGCTCTTATGCCCGTAACCACCTCCTAACATTTTTTATGCCTCTCGTTGGCTCTCCTCCAACCTGCCCTCCACAGGTAGCCAGGGTGACTGCTCTATGGTACAAATCTGAGCATGGACTTCCCTCTGAGGCCCCCAAGACCCCACTGCCCACTTCAGCCAGCCTCTCACTTCCCCTGACATTCCAGCAACACCAGACTTTCCTTGGTGCTTGCCCTGAGGATCCTTAACGCCACAATGGAATTATGGGGGTTACGGGGGGTTACCCCTCCTTGGTGAAGCTAGAACATCCTTTGTTTTCCTCTGTCTGTGCTCATCACACTCCTTGGTAAGGCTCCTTTTCTGTCTGCCTCCCAACACCACAGGGCAGGAACCTTTCAGCTCAGTATCTCGGTGCCTGGGGCACCGCTTATCATACAGTGGGTGCTCAGTACATGCTCAGCGAATGAATGAAGATGATGAGAAAGTACCCATTGAAGGTAATGAAAATCTTGATTTAGATACACTTGCTTGCCTTAGGGTGAATGAACATTTCCTGCTCGAGAAAGCCAAAGTATATATATTTTTATCTGTGAAATCTGATCCTTTGCCTAAGAGCCTCCCCATCAATTAATCATGACTAGCCATTTGCGCAAAACCTCTTCTCCCAAAGCACTTTGTGTAGAAGGGCTGAGCTCCTGCCAGAGCTGTGGGTCCAATTTCACCACATGACTAGCCTTTGTAGTAGACTCACACCCCTGCCTCTCATGGACCCCCACAGTGGCCCTGAGGGGCAAGCCAGAAAGGAGCATTGTCCTATTTCTAAGAAAACTTGTTCATAGGAGATGAGATGATTGTCGAAGGGTGCAGAGTGAATCAGATATTTGTTCTTTTTCACTTTATCATAGACCACTCTGCCCCCTGCTCCCCAGGGCTGACATAACGCCTCTTATGCCAACACAGACCCTGGGCTCTGTGGGAAACAGCCTCAGACAGGGAGAACTGATACACTGCCCTAGCCCCCTAGGTCATGATGCATCTTGTGTGTCAGCCATTATCTTGGGCAGGGGATTACTGGAACAGACACCCACCCACACTGGCTTGAGCATATAAAGGAAGACTCACAGAATCCAAATGCACGAAGCCATCTCTAGGACTAGCAATGCTCATTAGACAGGCATTTTCTCTTTTTTGCTGGACTACAGGTCTTTTCTCTTTGCATTTCTAATCTGGTCCCCTTTTCACAAAACCCTGAATCATCTTTTGCAAGGCCCAACATGACTGCTAATCCTGAGTCAGCCTGACTCACAACTGCAGGGCCTCCGGCCACAGGAGCAGATTGTCAGAGCCTTGGGGGCGCTTTGCCAGCTCAGCCTAAGCGACCGTCTGTTCTCCCAGGCTCGGCTTTCAGCCCTGGTCCAGCACCTGGCCCATGGGAGAGGGTTTGGGTCACTTGGTACTAACAAGGCAGTGGGGGCTGTGGGCAGGGGAAGTCCTAGGAGGGATGTGGATAGAAAGCCCATTACAAGTGCAGGAAAAACTGTGAAAGATGTTGAGTGTTAGTGGGCAAACTGAATAGTGTATCCACCTAGGTTCTGCCTTTTGCTGTCTTTGACCAGACATTTCTCAGCTCTAAAGATGGAAGTTAAATTGTAAAACACTGATAGTAATGTAAATAAGTCCTGTTCAGATAAATGCAAATTATATCTGGCAGAATACAACTGACTTGCCTTGTGGATATTGACCAGTTTTGCATCCCTTTCTAAAAATATTTTAGCATTCCTTATCCAACTCTCATGTGTAATACTCTTGAGTTCTCCTTTGAATTGGTTGTAATATTTTACTGGTTCTCTCATTAATTAATGAGATAAATTGAATCTCTGACACATGCTTACTTATCTAAGGGGAGGCATGGTTACAACTCCTTTTAAAATTTATTGTTAAATATAGTCAAAGCCTGTATGATCACAAACTCAGTTTAGAAACATTACAGATGCAGAGGAAAAAATATAGGATACATGTAAGTCTGGGGAGAAGAAATCCCGGGGCAAAATACCTCTAAGACCAAAGTCAGTCAAAAGGAGAAATAAAGTTGAAAACCTGTTATTGTTACAAGACAGTCCAGGGCCATCTTTCTTTCCTGCTCTGGCTGAAGTAAGTCAGCACTACCCCTCACCTCTCAGGTTCAGATAAGCCCTCCATCGCCCAGTAATTACCCATTGATATGGAGAGGAACTGCTCTCCACCCCTGAGGAATGCCTATTGATATGCAAATATACTAAAGCCAGCCTTCTCCCCATCCCTGAGGATGCAGATGCACTAAGTCCAGGAGAGATATTCTGGAAATACTACTATTTTACCCACAATACACCAGGAACTTAGTGGTTACTGTGGCAGGACAGGAGGGAAGGGAATAGGGAAGGAAAAGACAGGTAAATATACATTTTACATTTTTTTGTACTATTTTAATTTTTAAACTATGTTAAAGTAATTTCAGTGGCTCCTAGGTAAAGGCTTAAGAATGATTTGTTTTCTTTTTTGATACTTTTCTCTATAGAGAAAAATAGCATTTACTTTGTAATTATTAAGCTGTATGTATGGCTATTCGGACTTTTCTGTTTTATTTTACCAAAAAATATTTTTTTAAGCCTGATACATGTTAAATTTTAAAGGAAAAAGAAAACTAAATAGGTAAAACTACATCTTGGCATATTGCTCCAGGCAGGCATGGGTAGCTGGAGGTGGTTATGACTGGGGCCTGCCCTCAGGGAAGAGGATAAGGTTCAGGCTTCACCCACAGGCCGAAGGGTTCCAAGCACAGGCCACACCTACCCTGTGTCTGCTGCCCAGATGACAGGTCTTCCTCACTGTTTTATCTCCTCCCTCCTGCCTGCCTCCCTGTCAGCTCAACTCAGGGGACGTGATAGAAGCTCCTTCCAGAGGGGGGACATTCCTTCCTCCTGGCCTTCTTACTCTGACAACCGGACAGGCATCCTGCCCTCCCTGGCTTGCTGCTGAAAGGGGACAATCACTGCCAAACCACGCTTGCACAACAACGCACTTCTGAGAAGGCTTCACACGGTTTCTGTCAACTGAATCCTGTCTCCCTCCTGACTTACATGATGGTCCAGATATGCTCTGGCTTTCATGCTCATGGGTGGCGCACCCACTGGTAACTAATCTTAACACTTCGAATTCTTTGTCTTCATTAACCAACTGTGGGTAAAATTGTAACATTTCCAGAGTATCTCACCTGGCTTTAGTGTGTTTGCATCTCCTCAGGGCTGGAGAGAAGTTCATTTCCATGTCAGTGGGTAATTTACCTGGGCAACCCAGGGTGTGTTTGAACCTGAGCATTTAAAGGGAGGGGCTGGCTGGCTGGCTGGCTGGCTTGCTTCTTCAGGAGCAGAGGAGAGAGCCGGTCCTGGACTGTAGTTTGTAAGCAATGAACAGGTTTTAAACTTGATTTCTCCCTTTGACTGATTTCAGTTTTTAGAGGTATTTTGCCCCGGGATTTCCTCTCCCCGGTCTTACACCAACCTATAAACCAGTCTATTTCCGTACGTGATGATAGAACCTTCCTTCTAGGAATTCCTCTGTCACCAAGCTTGTAAGTTTTCTCTGCTGTTTTCTTAGTGTGTGTGTATGTGGTGGGGGAGGCAACACCCACAGGCAGTGGAACCACCTCTCAGCCCCAGAAGCTTCCCCTGGCCTTTGGCTAAGTGTGTGCAGTCCCCTTGCACTTGGCATAGTTGCACGCAGGTGCTTCATTAATGAACTCTTGCCCAGGACGACTGAAGAATAAGGCATGGATGAGCCACGTGCCCGCCCTCACTTGCTGCACATTCTCAGATGGCTTGACTAAGGCCAGGCTTTCCCACATTTACCCATTAAGCACAGAGACACAGTCAACCCTGCTTTCGGGGGCTGGTACTCCAGAACACCCTCCCAAGCTGCATATCATGCTGTGGCCTAGTACTGCTACACAGGGCTGGTTGAACCCAGACTCCCAATGTCATTTGACTACATTTTTCTCTCCCTGAAGTTCTTCAGTGGCTCCCTATTGCCAGCAGGATCAAGTCCAAGCTCCATGGCTTGGCCTTCAAGTCCCTTACTTCCCAATCTGGCCCCAGCTATATCTCTGGCACCATCTCCCTATACCACATACCACACTGTCTAACCACCCATTCACCCCATGCATGCTGGAGTCCAACTTGCACTCAAGTCCAAAGGCTGTTTTCCAAGTTCTCACAGCTGCCCAAAATGCCTTTCAATGGCAGTCTCTCTCTTATTAGTTGATGTCATCAGAATTGCATTACTATAGATGCAGACACGGGCATGCTAGGGCCTGTCTTAATGTAGAGCCTTAGACCCCAGTGCTCACACCACCCCCGTGGCTGCACCTGGGTGTACTTTCCAGAATGGCTCTTTCCATGGGAGCAGCTGCAGATTCCTCCTACCTCCCAAAAGCTCATTGCCATGGAGCAAAGACAGTTGTATTAGGACACATCACAGCATCTCGCTGCCAAACTGACAACTACAATTATGTTTTGGCCAGCCCACAGCTGGAGATGAGAGAAATGCACAAGTAGCCAAGGCCTCATGAGCCTTCATGAATCAGCAGTTTGTGCTGTGTGTGAGGGAGCCCATCCTGCCAGTTGTCCAGGCCCTCCCTTGGTGGGCAACCTGTTGGCTACAGACCTCAAGTTAGCACCTGAGACCCTCAGATGAAGTCCTGCACAGTGACAGTTAATGCCTCCAAGGGCCACCCCAGGACCCAGAGGAGCAGTAGGGCAGAGTGGTCAAGCCCAGCTAAGGCCCAACCCTGAGGGACAGGCAGGGGTAGGGGCAGGCAACACAGAGGGCCGAGCTGCCCGGGGTGAAGTCTCTCCTGCTGGGCAGCCTGATGTTGGGTATCCTCATGATGGGCACAGCGTGTCTATGGAGGCCCTCGGGTGCCACCTCCATGAGGAACCTCAGTGCCATAGGCCATGGGCAGAGAAGCGGTGTCAGTGCAGGGCCAGGACACCGCTGCAAAAGCAGTCACACACACAGCAGCAGCTTCACCTAGTGGGCCGTGCCATGTGCCCACACCGTCTGAGTGCTTTTACCTAGGTCCTTCTTCTCACCTTCACCACAGTCCAGTGAGGGAGCTTCTGTTATCATGCCCCTTTTACCGGTGAGGAAACTGAGTCTCAGAGGGGAATTTGATGGAGACCTCACAGCTGGAAAGTATGGAGCTGGAATTTGAGGCCAGATGCTCTGGCTCCAGAGCTTAGGTGGCTTATGTCCTGTTATTCTTTTCTGACTCTTTCAGCCCAGTCTTGGTTGCAGGGAGCTAAGAGACCCCAGCACATTTCTCACACAGAGTAAGTTAAATTGGTGCCTCCAAATAGACTCTGGCCTGGAAGCTGAGATGTTACCAAGGGAAGCAAACAACAACTTTTTCAGGTGACACATGCTGGGCTATGGATTTGGGGTGGTGGGTGGGGGTAGAATTAAAAGCTACCAGGATTTCCTCATTGCATGTTCTTGCATGTTCAGCAGAACAGTGGCCATCAGGAAGCTGCTCTGTGGCCAGCGTTGCCCCTGGAGACAGAGGGCCCGAGCAGGAACTGTCTTCTGTCAGACCCACAGGCCCTCTGAAGGTGGCCTCCCCAGCCTGGGGCTGGCCTCTTGCTCAGCCCTGACCTGGGCTCTGGCTGAGGCCTCTAGGAGGGGCAGGCTCAGGCTCTTGGTGTTTTCCAAAGAGTGCCACTGCCCTTCACAGGCTCGTTGTGGAGCAGAACCTCTCTGTCCTCACATCCTGTCCAAATGCACGCAGGTGAGGAGGCAGCTGGCTAGCAACTCTGTTGAGCAAGCTTCCAGAGTGGGTGTCTGAAAGGCTGGTGGCACAAGAGCATTTGTATTTCAAGTGGCTGCCCCATGAATCACCAGCTTCATTCTCTGCTCTCAGCTATGCAAAGGCATCATTTCCACCCAGCCTCACATGGAGCTGGCGGCCCGAGCCTCTCAGCGTGGCTATAAATAGCAGATCATCAACTCGCCTCTTCTGAGCTCATCACAGGCTCCTCAATTTACTGTGTGTGTGCATCTTCCTGCTGCCTGCACGTCACAGTCCCTCAGGTTTCCCAGGTGAGGCCTGGCTGGGAGACCCATGCCGGGGGAGGCTGTTGGGGGGACACGGCAGGGTTTCAGTTCCCGGAACTGTTCAGGGTGACAGAGAGGGCAATGGCAGACTTTTGAAGAGCTCGACATTTAAGGCGTCGTAATTATGATCTCGGGTCTCTGAGCTCCTCTCCTATTAAATGCAGCAGCAAGGGACTGTCATTTCTCTAGTCCTAGAAATAAAAGGCAAAGGACTCACCAAGCACACACCCAGAGAAAGCCACCCAGAGCGGGTAGTAACAAATGAAAGGTTTCATGCCTTTCTGTGGACTCATCTCCTAAAACCAAGTGAAATACTTCACGGCTCTCTGGCTTCAGAAGTGAGATTAACTGAATGAAATACTTTATGGCTCCCTGGCTGCAGCTGTGAGATTGGGTTTTTTAGTATTACTCATAGCTACCATTTATGGAGTGCTCCCTGTGTCCAGGATTTGTGCCAAGTCTTCCCATGAAGAATCTCATCAAGTCACCACAGCAGCCATATTGAGTTGACAGCTAACATCGTTGGCTTTCTATAGGCGAGGAGGCTGTGGGTCCCAGCGTCACAGGGACAGGGCTGCTGGGTTCTGGAACCCAGTCTCTGAACCACCACACTTTCTGCCTCCTGCAGAAGAGGACAGTTTGTGTGTCTACATATATCCATTTGCAAGAGTGACTGGACAGAGATGGACCATTAGACTCCTTTTCCCAGCCCCACAGCTCCACGACTGTAAGAGCCAGATGCTCCCGTCCCAGGCTCCGCTGGCACCCTGAGTGTCCCATCACCATCTTCTCCCAAAGTTGATGATCTTTTTCTAGGTTCTCCTGTAGGGAGGGCAGCCACCTTGGCTTTCTAGGCCCAACTTGATGTGCTTTCTTTTGTCTCTCTCCGCCTGGGCCCTAAAGCAGGCAGGGGTAGGGTGGAGCTCCTTCTTCCTCCCTCATCCCCTCGCCCCTGGGGGCAGCCTCCCTCCAATCCGTTTCCTCCTCTGCCTCCCAGAGTCATAGCCCCATGTTCGGGGTCTGGTCCCCTTTATTGGTTTGTCACAACAGCCCTCCGGCTCAGTGCTGCACCCGGGGAATGTTTAAGAGCACAGATCTTGGTTCCCTCCCCAGAGCACCTGAAATAAAAATCTTTCAGGGTACAGGCCAGAGGCTGGATTTTTAAAAAACTGTCCCAGTGATCGATGCAACCGGGGCTAAGGACCACTTTGTCCATCCAGCCACCTATATTCCAGCCTCTCCCTGCTCTGAACCCTCCTACCCACAGCAATCTGCTTTTAATTTTCTTAAAGTGCAGTTTATCTCCTATTATTCTCCCGCTCAAAATCCTCAAGCCGCTCCCTACCACCTGCAGGAAAGGGCAAAGCCCATAGTGTGCAAGGCAATTTCCATCCTGGTTCGCTCATTCTCCCGCTAGAGCCACTTTTCCCTGGGACAGCCTCCTGACCCTGCTTCCTCTCTTCAGCTTGTCTGGACTTTAGACATCAGCTGGGCACAGGAGAGCACACTGAAACAGCCGCAGTCCTTACCTGAGACTCTGAGTCCTTCCATAAGAGAAATGAGGAATTATTGCTAAAATGCCCCTCTTACTTCAAGAGCCACATGTGCAGCTTTAAATGAAGAGGGTTTTGTGCGGCCTGAGGATGAAAGGAGATCTGCCAGCAGATACAACATAATAACAGTAATGTGTAAACACAGGGTAGCAGGAGAGGTGGGGCTCATGATTAATTCAAAGAAGATGGCATTTTGGCATTCTCCTTGCTTTTATTCTGCCCAGAGGACAGAGCAGGTCTGGTAAGCACTGGAGCAAAGGCTGTGTTTCAAAATGCGTCTCAGGCTTTTTGTCCTCCATTCTTAGACTAAAGCAGAGAAACACGTTTGAATCTTGCTCAAAAGGTCAAGGATATTTTGCTAATATGACTGAACATTGTGCGTGTTTAGACCTTGTTTTATTTCCCATAAAGAAACACCTACCCCCAAATAAAATAAAAAGTGATTGTGCTGATTGACAGCAGGAGTCATTTCAGAATGGAGCCTGGAAATTGCTCCCCTCAAGTGCTTCAGAGTGAAAATGGACCCTAAAGAACTTCTGGTTACATGTGCGCAGAGCCTCTTAGGGATCTCCATCTGCTCCCTCCCAAAACCCTACTGAAAAGAACTCTACAGGAGCAAAAAGAGTTACGAATCCACAAGGCCCGTGGGAGTAGGGGAGCAGACGGCGGCCGATGAAGGACGGCGGTACAGGTTTGGAAGGTGGAAGCAGAGGAAGCACTGGTGGGTCACAGTGCAGTGTGGGAAGGCTGAAGGCCTGCTGCCTGTAGAGAGGTTCGGGGTGAGAAGCAGGCCCACTGCTGGGAACAGGAGGGTAGGGCTGCAAACCGGAGCACTGGTGGAGGCTGCCTGGAAGGGGGCAGTGGGGCGCCACACCCCTGGGCCTGCAGGAGACTGGGATGCTCACTGGGGAATCCACATTAGCACATTAGAGTCTGTGGAGAGTAGGCACGGGGTACAGACCTGAAAACATGGGTAATAACAGAAATTTAGATATTAAAGGGAAACTCCCAGCCCCATTTCTCCATCCTACTTCTAGAAAACCTGGTGGCCAGGCATGGCCCTTCCCCCCAGGCTGGAGACAAAAGAAGCCTTTTCTGCAGAAACCGAGCCGACTCAAGGGAGAGACCTGCAGATACATGCATGACACAGATAAGGACCTCCAGCGGAAGGCCCGGCTCCTGAGCAACCACCGTCCACAGGAAGTCACTGTTAGACAGGCTCCACCCAAGCATCTCTTCAATGTGTAATTCTTAAATATGATCATATAGCCAGGGTCCCCAGACACTTAAGGAAAGAGAATATGAGAGACAGGTGTGGGGGAGGGGACAGGGGAGTGGACAGCAAAGAAAGCCTAAGCTTAAGGAGAAGAAAGCTTTTAAGATGCTACAAAATCCTCAGGGAGTGAAAATAAGATTTATATCTTATGGTTCATTATCATGAAATATCAGAACACCAAAAGACCCCAAAAGCATCCAGAAAAGAGAAACAGGTCAGTTGAAAGTACCAGGGATCAGAATGGCACCAGACTTCTCAGCAGCAACACTGGAAGCTGGAGGATAATGGAGTGAGGCATTCAGAATTCTGAGTGAAAATGATTTATAATGTAGGAGTCTAAACCCAAACCATTAATTAAGAGAAATAGTAGAATAAAAGATGCTTTCAGACATGGGAGATCACAAATAATTTGTCTCTCTCAGACTCCCTTTCTCAAGAAGCTCTCCACCCAAACAAGAGAATAATAGAATGAGGAAAACGTGCTCAGGAACCTGGATGACCCCAGGCCCAGGCAGGAGAATCCCCCTCTGAGCCAGAGAATAGAGATATGTTGAGGGGTCATTAGGTGGTTGTGGGAATTAATAAAAAGTTTCTCAAAAACAGAATAAATAAAACCTCCAAGGCAACTACTACCTACAAAACCCCTCCAACACAAAAACTATAAAAGAAAATAAATGTAATACCAAAAAGAAGTACATAGCTATAATAATGTAAACACAGATTATTGATTTAACCAAAAACTGTAAAAAACAGTGTTGGGAAGCTAGGAGAAAGGGGAGGATGCAGGTGGCAGTGGGTAAAAGAAACACATCCTCATCTCCCATATGCAAGAAAATGGGTAAATGTTCTTTTGTCAGTTTGTGTGAAATTGACAGATTGACAAAATAGCACTATAAGCACATTATTCAGAAAAATGGAGGCGAAAGTTAAAACCGGAAGAAACAGCTGAATGAGTTTAATTAGGTACCTCTGGGTAACAGACTGGGGGTTGGGGTTGGGTGGGATAGGGTTCTGCCATTTTTCACCATATGCTTTTTAGTACTATTTGCCTTTATAATTTTTGTGTGAGTATACATTATTTTCATAAAAATTAGAAATAATTTTAAAAAGAAAAACTTATAGAAAATATTTTCACAAAACCAAAACATTAAAAAATGTTAGATATTCGTTAATTGTATCTCCGTGATTTGTTCCTGTCCTGTTTATTGTCCTCTCCATTCATTTCTTTAAAAGTCTTAAATATCGATTAGAAGTGTAGTAGGGTCGCTGGAGAAAACACATCTGAGATATACTTATACTAAACATTTATTTGTTGTTCATTTGAAATTGAAATTTAACTGGGTGGCCAGTCTTTTGATTTGCTAAGTCTGGTGCCCTACAATGGGGGTTCTCCTTTCAGGAGTCCCACAGGCGAGGCCTGTGGCTAAAGAGAGAGGAACCAGAAAGTTCACCTGCAATTAATATTCTCAATGTGGGAGATATGCATAGAAATTGACGAACTTCCTAGGCAGATGCTGAGCAGTGATTTGGCATCTAGTCAAGATGTGTATGTCACAGTGCCAACCAGTCCCTGGCCAGTCTCTGTGAGCCCAGAAATATTAAGAGTCCAGTCTTGCCCTTTGACTGGCATCAGGATCCACTTGAGAGCCAAACACCTGAGCCTCCACCCTCTATCTGTCCAGCCCAGGGCTTCTGCCGGTCTCGCCATCCCTCGGCTGCATTTTTTTCTTCTGAGTGGAGAACAAGTAGGATGAGACAGATTTCAGTGTAGTTAAGTTCAGGAGTAGGACCACACCCATGTCATCCTCTTTGCTTTTCATTGGAAAACTATTTCCTTAAGCAAAGATCTTATACAGATGCCTAATCTTGTCTACAATGTACTTAAGAGTTTCATTTACAAAAGAGGATTTTGTTCTTAAGCTGTGGGAGATCCTCTACCACCACTAACAAATGAATGGTAGGAATGTCATCATTTTCTCCCTTTTGCACTAGGGAAACTTTTTTGAGGTTAACAGAATACTAAAGATATGTGAGTCTGAGACAGGGACCATAGATGTAGTCAGAGTAGGGTGAGGGCCTCCGGAGGGGGCAGGGCGGGATATCTGCAGTCTGAGCAATGTAACTACACGCAAGGAAACCCCCCCTGCTAAAACTCTATGTTAAACATTGAGCTCTAGAATCATTCTTCAGTGAGATCAGTTAATGTTCCCCAGATAAAGAAGGGTAGCACATGTTTTATTATGCTAATCATTTGTAACCATGTGTAAGATTCACTTTAGCATACTAAAAGGCCCAGGCCTGTGTGCTGTCTTTCCTCCTTCAGATCTGACGAGGTAATTCTGCCAACTGAATAACTAACTTAGCATGCAGACCCAGCTGTAGACGGCAGGGTAAAAGGTAGGAAGAATTCCATCTTAAAGATAAGATTGCATTTTAACACCCAGGAAGTTCAAGAGGCAGGACTCTTTAGCAAGTAGACAATACCTCAGCCCACCTTGGGGGCTGAGCAGGCGGCCTTTTGATATGCTCCTGACCCAGGCACCGGTGTCCCAGAGAAAAATCAAGGCAGGAAATTCCTTATGTTAAGTTAATTTTTAATATTCAGGGACCACTTAACAAGTCCCCACCCCTAAGTTTTTTCATGTTCTTGAAAAATCCTCCACTGCCTATAAAACCCCCTAGACAACGCACCACTACAGACTCTTTGTCCCCTTCTGGCGTGACCCTGGAGCTCTGTCCTTTCACTTTATCTCTAAATAAAAGCCTGTACCTTGCTCTCCTACCTTGACTGTTTGTGAAGCTCATTCTTTGGCTCCACAAACAAGAACCCTGGTATCAAGTCCAGAAAGCTCAAATCATCTTTGGAATATATAGAGATGATTTTATACATATACATATTTCATTATTTTTTATGCACACATACATACACACACACATATATATATAATTGGCAAATACATATACATAAATGTATAAAGAGAAATAAAAAGCTAAAATTTATACATTTAAAAATGAGGAAGAACACAAATATAAAGTATTCGTGTTGTTTAGCTATTCCTTATGTTAGCAGATGTCAACTGCAGCCGGGCAGGCAACATATTTCAGAAATCCAATTGGGATTAAAATAATTAGCCTATTCTATAAAACTAGTGGTCAGAATAACAAAAGAGTTTGCTTTGCTTAAACATTTTCAAGGCTTTCTAAAAACATTTTTTTTTAAGTTAGGAAATATTTAATTATGTATCCAATTCAATCATGAATTTATTGTAGGTGTGAGATGACTGGGAGCTTAGTTCAACCCAAGCAAATATTTTGTATTTTTCGGACAGCTTTAATTGTTTAAAGTTATTCTATTTAAAGAAGAAATCTGACTTGGTATAACTTTTACTCTTTGGCCTTATGTCTGCCTTGAAAAGTGATGAAGAATGAGCCGTCTTCTACAAAACGCCCTTCAACGATCTGAAGACAGTCCTAGGGCCTCTCCAGCGTGTCCTCTGCTCCTACGTAACCTCGTTTCCAGCTCCCCTTCTCCATCGCCTTCCTTGTGAGCACTTTAGTTTCATCGATGCTGTGCTTTAAATAAGGCACTCAGACCGAACTCCTGGGATAGCACGAGGCAAACAAAATAACGAAGAACTGTAACTTTCTGTGATCTGAATGCTGAACATCCATTCAGTTAGGTAAAAGCAGCCACTTGACTACTGTTAAAAGAACATCAATTTTAAAGGTTTCTGGCAGAGAGAAGACTTGTCCAATTCAATAGAAAAAAAATCTTAAGCTTTCCTTTACAACAGGTTAAAACATTCATGGATCTTGATACAGAAATGCCATCTCATATTGATAGAAATAATGGATTAACAGACAAACTTCTGCAGAACAGAAGCTAACCTGATTTCCATCAGTACTACCTTTAATCAGGGTAACTTTCCTGCAGTAGGAGGCTTTTGGGGAATGTAATTCCACTGCATTGTGATGTTAAATTGAGGTAATTATCACAAGTAGACTAAAAAAAGTTTTGCATATTATTTGTCCTTGTGAGAGCCCTATGCTGTTGATGAGTCAGGACACAGGAGAAACCCTAAGAGAGGAATGTTCAGAATTTAGATACTTCTTTAAGAGCTGTGGATCCCAAGGTTTCCGAGCTTTTAATGTTTCTTAGCCTTTGGCTAGGAAAATCTTTCTCTGCAGATGTGAGGAAGCCAGCTCAAAGATCTCCTGGAGGTCTTCCCATTTGATATTTCTTAATGCACCTGCATTTTCAGCTTTTCCAAGGCAGGATGGGCGAGAACAATGCCTTTTATCCTGTCTATTTGGCTATTTTAGAACATTTTGTCATATATGGAAGGAAAATAGGTACTTTTTTCCCCCTTGAGCTTCCAGGACCACTATGAATTTAGGTTACTTGCTCAGCTTGCCCCTGTGGTGGGAAGTGTTAGAAAGAAACCACAGCCCAAAGATGGAGTCACTCATGTTAATAGTCCTCCATCAGCAAACCAAGACTTAATACCTAACCTGATTGCAGTTCCAGACCCACCAGGAATGTAACCTTTACCCAGTCAACATGGAATTTCCTAGTCAGCACTAGGAAATTTACTGATACACCCCTTCCCTTCCCCTTAGGAGGGTGACGTTGCCTAAAACAATGGATTCTCTACTAATAATTTCTTTTTTTCCACTCCCTACTTTTAAAAACCTTTTCTTCTTTTCAATTCAGTGGATCTCCCTCCTACTTGCTAGATGGGGTGCTGCCTGATTCATGAATTGATTAATAAAGCCGATTAGATCTTTAAATTTATGCAATTAAAAAAATTATTTAAAAGTTTATGTTTTTGTTATGTAGAAGAGAAGAGAAACCCTGGGATCCATGGTCAGTGCTTTCACCTAATGGCCCACTAGGAGGCTCCTTGAGCCATTTCCAGGGATGTTTTCACCTGGAAGGAGTAGACCCCCTTTTCAAGACCAAAATCAGACCAGAAGAACTAAGAGTGCTGGAGGATGAATAAGGACTAGGTGCTTTTCCAGCCCATGTCTCTATGCCAGGGCATCTGGGCTGGGGTCTTCTTTCTGTAGAGCACGAGCCACAAAGTGAGGGTTGCACAAAGAGAAGGAAAGTTTTGCTTAAAAGAATCCAGAAATTAAGGACTGTGAGAGCAGTAATTGCAGTAACTATTCACTGGCTTTAAAGAGGAAGCCTGTGGCTGGTAGGTGTGGAAACTTAGGTAGAGGGTACTTGGGTAAAACATAGTGAAAACTTTAAAGTGTGCATGCTCTTTTGAATGAGGAATTCTATTTCTAGGAATTTATTAGAAGGAAAAAAAAGAACTGGATGTTCATAGAAGTTTAGATGAAAGGATAAATCACAGTCACAGTTATTAAAATTTTTAGTATAATTTAAAAATGGGAGAATGTTCTAATTCAGAAAGAACATGATAGAGATTTAGTTCTGAATCGCCGCACACTCAACAAGGACAATAAACCTGCCAACTATGTATTTGGTGAAGCCTGGAGAAAACTGCAACCTCCCAAGTGTTGTTAAGAGCTGCCATGGTGAAAAAGAGCAGGGCACCTGGTGAAAAATTGAGTGAGGAGAGAATGTGGAGCCTCAGAGAGCTCAGAAATCCCCAGCAGTTTTCCCTTCCAGAAGGGGAGGACCCTGCTGTGAAAGAGAACTGAGAACAGGGACTAAATTGAACAAAGATTGCTGGGGTTGATGGAAAATCTTGGAAAGCACTGGGAAAAATAAAGCTTTTAAAACTCTTAACTCAAACTTTTAAATATAAAAACTTTTCAACTTCTCTTAGAAACAAAAGTTATAAAGAAATCGGGGAAGGAGATGGACAGAGAAGCTCTCTTCAACCAAGCTCTAAAATCCAGAGAAGAGGTGACTTCTCATAGGGGCCATGATTAAGGGTCAGTCACTGTCGCAACAGAGAAAGCTCCCTGGGCCCCACTTCTCCACCCCTCCAC